CATTGACAAGGAAGTTTTCTTGCACACAACCCTGCCCACCCCCACCCCAGCGCCTGCATCCATTTTTAAGTGCCTGGAAAACACAAGAAGGGGAAACAAAGGGCAAATGCCAGTCTGTGACCTCTGTCTGGACTTAGCCAGGCGTGATGTGTGAATCAGGTGTATGGAATGGAAGTTTCCATGGCAACGAGACTGCAGGGCGGGCAGGGACTTCACATACTCTTTCCACCGAGGTAATAGAAACAATGAGGCCACCTGAGAGACCCAGCAAAAGCGGAGGCGGGAAAGTTCAGACATCGCCAGTGACAGGAAGGTCTGCACTGGCTCTGTCCTCACTCTCTCTGCTTTGGGTCTTCCCCACCAGCTCCTTGAGATAATCTACCATCTCTCTTTTTTGGGAGGAAAGGAGGGGTAATTTAAAGAAATATTCTCTAAAGGGAGTTGCTTATGAGAAAAATGTAGAAAGGTCTATATGAGCAAAGTGTTTACTTTAAGTAGAAAAAAGCAGCTCTCTTTGTCCAGACACAGTGGCCGATTTGACGCCGGCTGCCTGTCTGACAGAGGCACTTAACGTTTTCTCCAAGCTTCTTTGCTTTACCTTGCAACGTGCTCTTTATGTGCGGACCCAGTCCAGAATGAAAAGATCCGGAGCTACATTTTCTATGTTGCAGATTTTTAAAAATTATACTTGCTATAGATAGATACTTTAAAATTATTTTAAACTTTTAGAAAAACATTTTTTTTTAGAAATAGCTTGCTTTTTTTGTCCTATGACTTGGAGTCAAAGAAAAAAAAAAGCATATCATTTTAATGGAATCAAGTTAGCCTTGGTTATCTCAATGAAAAAAAAAGTTGTCAGAATGCCAAATCTATGCTGATATACTGGCTTTTAAAACCATTCTTCTGACTTGAGACTTGCAGATGTTAAAAAGAACCAGGACAAGGCTTGTACACTTGGAACCAAATCATGGCCGTCAGCACACTCTACTTCTCCACTCTGTACCTTTCTTAGCTCTGCTCTGGAAGAGGCCTTTTGACTCCTTCAGATCGCTACTGCAGAGAATGAAGAAGAGAGAAGTACCTTATGCTATCTCTGCTAGTGGCTCTAACTTTAGGAGACAGCAACAACCTTTGCAATGCACCACAGGAATCTTTCTACACTGCAAATTTGGTCCTGTCACACTCAGGCTCCTAATCTTCCAAATGGTTCCTTAGTGTGTTCTGAACAGTGCAAATCTCTAGACACAGTTTCCAAAACCACATGAGATCTGACCTCTGCCTACCTCCTTAGCTTCATCTTCTGCCATTCTCCAATATGCACTTCACAATCCAGGCAAATCCAACTATTTTTAATTCCCCTAAATATACCATTATTCTCTCTCTCACCTCTGGCCTTTTATATTATTGATTCCTTTAAAGCTGCCATCCCAACCCCCAGTATTGGTACAGCCTGTTAGGAGTCGGGCCACACAACAGGAAGTGAGCTGTTGCGCTCCCCATTGCTTGCTCTCCCTAGCCCCACACTGTTCCAGTCTGTGGAAAAGTTGTCTTCCATGAAACCAATCCCTGGTGCCAAAAAGCTTGGGGACTACTGCTTTAAAGAATATGTAACCTAGGCCGGGCGCGGTTGCTCACACCTGTATTCCTAGCACTCTGGAAGGCTGAGGCAGGAGGATAATTTGAGCTCAGGAGTTCGAGACCAGCCTGAGCAAGAGCGAGACCCCCATCTCTACTAAAAATAGAATGAAATTAGCTGGCCAACTAAAAATATATAGAAAAAATTAGCCGGGCACGGTGGCACATGCCTGTAGTCCCAGCTAATCGGGAGGATGAGGCAGAAGGATCGCTTGAGCCCAGGAGCTTGAGGTTGCTGTGAGCTAGGCTGATGCCACGGCCCAGGCAACAGGGTGAGACTCTGTCTCAAAAAAAAAAAAATAAAAATAAAAAATACTTAACCTTTCCCAGTATCTCAGCTTTGATAGCACTACCTTCAGAGAGAGCTTAGCCCCTGGCCCAATTTCAGGCTTAAAGCCCTTCCTAGGTGCAGCCACAGCTGGGCTCCTCCCACTGCCCTCATCACACAGACTGTAGCTGTCAGCTTCACCTCTGTGACCCCATCCACCTGGGTGGGAAAGCAAGAAGGCGGGTTGCTCAACCTTGTCTTGGGGCCCAGCATACAATAATGGTCGATGGAGATTTACCAAAACTGAGTGACTGAGAGCAGGAATACATGAATGAACAGGACAGTGGGCAAACGGCTGCTGGTGTGGCACAGCGGACCACGAACAGCACTGACCACATCTGGGCCTGAGCCCCACAGTCCAGTTCTGCCACTTGCTGACCTCACGGCTTCAGGAGCATTACTCAGATTCCTGCTTTTCAAACGGTAAAAAACAGCTGCCCAAGATTATCAGAAGCATTAAATGAGACAGTGTTTGAGAAATTCTTCATGAAAATTTTAATAAGTCTCTACATGATGGCTCTTCCCAGCAGGAGGCCAAATAGGAGTGAGAAGAAAGGAGATGGCACAATTGCCACAGGGCAGCAGCAGTCAAAGGAAAACCACGTAACAGGGTCCGGCATGCAGCTCTAGAAATTCATGGTAGACTGCTACATGTGGCATAGACTGACTTTTTTTTTTTTTTTTTTAGAAATAACTATGTTCCCGTCTTGCTCATCTTGGACCTACACATCCTTATTATCCACAATTTCCCATTTATGTACCATGTTCTCAGTACCAAATACTACTACTAACAATAACAGTTCTTGTGCATTTGTCTATTGTCATTCCAATTGTGAAGTGCCCTCTCCTTCCCCAGGACCCATCTGAATCCTACCTGTCCCTCCATATCGATAACGAATCTCACCTATACCTATAAAGCCATTCTCCAGTAAACTGGCTCACATCCGTTTCTCTCCTCCTGATCTCCTGTTGCATTAGGACCCATATTTCACCATTCAGCACTTTAGTCTGTAAATGTTTCACACTTACATGCCAGGTCCCCTTTCCTAATTGTGGGGGGACCTCACCCAATCAGAGGAACCACGTCTGGAGGGCTCAGTCATGGACAAATCTGGGTTATAAAACATGGAGATTTGGCAGAGAAGCAAGTGAGATTTGGTGAGAGGCAAGAAGTGTATAAGTCAGAAAATAAAATTGACAAAGCCACCAAGAAAACAAAAATATACAATGAGATAATTAGGTACCTACTCAATTTCTGATGACTTCAAGATTCTCTGGTAGTTGAATATGGCATATTATGAAGGGGACATGGGATAATGTTTAAAAGGGAGGGAGCTAAGCAAGAAACATAGCTGCCAGTATGAGCATACCAAGCGATTCTTTATCCTGAGTAAGAAAACAAACGATAAGGTAGAAGACATGGAAAAGCAAAAGGAAATGGAGAAACAAGATGGGAAAAGTAGCACCAGCATGATCAACCAACAGCATGTGGCTGAGTACCCAGTCTTCCCATGCATGGAACACTGTCCTTGGTCTGCATCTGGGGTGCCCAAAGTAAAGACAAGTTTTGCAGAGAAGTAAGAGATAGCACTTGTGCTTATAAGGACCCGGCAGTCTACAGGGGAAGACAAAACACACATATATGAAGGTATAACTTAAGACAAAAATTAGTATATGAAAAGTGCAAAATGAGCACTGAAAACAGAACAAGGACAGATCACCACGTGTTGAAGTAGTCAAGGAAAATTTTATGAAAGAGGTGATGCAACCACTCTGCCTTAAAAGAGAAAGGACCTGGGGGAAGCATGACAAGTGAGGGAAACAAAATTTGCAAGGTACATTAGTTCCCCCATGGCAGATACATTGCGAGGCCCCTAGTGGACGCCTGAAACAGCAGAAAGTACCAAATCCCATTTTATACATACTATGTTTTTTTTGATCTGATAACCTAAATGGTTCCTAAGTGGCTAAAGGGATGGAAAGGCATGAGATTTCATCATGCTACTCAGAATGGTGTATAATTTGAACCTTATGAATTGTTTATTTCTGGAATTTTCCATTGCATATTTTCAGACCTCAGTTGACTGTATGTAATGGAAACCGTGGAAAGTGAAACTACACATAAAGAGGGACTACTGCACATGGGAAAAGTAGAGAAATTCTGCTGCAGCAAGACTTGATTGGGATAGCGGTAGAATGTGAGTTTGGAAAAGTAGGCTGGGAATAGATTGTGGAGAAGTAGAGAAGTAAAACTACAGAAAGAAGGAAAGAAAATTTGAAGAGCATTTCAGTAGAGGCAGAAAAGAAAGAGAAGATTAAAAAAAAGAAAGAAAAATAATGTTAGAAAGCATTTATCACCAGATTTTTAAATGTCTATATGAGGCAGGCCAAGGTGGGAGGATTGCTTGGGCCCAGGAATTTGAGGATATAGTGACCTATGATTATACCACTGCATGCCCAGGAAACAGAGCGAGACCCTGTCTTTAAAAGAAATAAATAAGATCAGGCGCAGTGGCTCAGGCCTGTAACCTAGCACTTTGGGAGGCTGAGGTGGGAGGATTACTTGAAAGTAAGTCAAACAACAAACAGGGTTAATATCATGAATAAATAAGATGTCACAAAAATCAATAAAGTCATTAAAATCCCAGTAGAAAAATAGAAAAGGGGCTGGTAGAGAACTGACAATATCCAATCAGCAAAGGACCAATAAAATATGAGAATAAAAGCTCCAACAAAACAAATAATTCACACAGAAATAAAAACCAAGATAACAAATAAGGTGTTATTTTTCTTGTTATATGAGGAAAGTCTCTTTAAAAACAGGTATCAATATTAGCTGAAGTGGGCATGAGGGGCAATCTGGAATATTAGTTGCCAGCATACAACTTTCCTGGGAAGCAATTTAGCAGTATGTGCAGGGACCCTTAAAAAGTCATAGTTATTGTCACATAGAAATATAACTTGATAAAATAATCAGGAATTCAGAAAAACTATTCATGTCCAAAGATGCTGTTTATAGCATTACTTAACCTAACACAATAAATCACTACCAACATCCCAACCAACACAATTAATAAAGTAGAAGATCCATAGAGAAATGGTAAAATAATGATACAGACACATCAAGAATTACAATGCAACCATTAAATATCATGTTTATTTTATTTGTATAGGAAAAATCCAGAATCCAAAATGGCTATATAGTTTGATCCCATTTATATAAAAAACACACATAGATGTAAGCACATAGGAATAAATTCTGAAAGGATATACAGCCCAATTCTCTCTAGGTTATGTGATTATAGGTTGTTTTTATTTTTGTCTGGAGGTCTTTCTGTATTTTCCAAATTTTCTATAATAGGCATGTATTACTATATAGTTAAAAATTATATTTGAATATTGAAAAATGAAATAACCATTTTAATTGCAAATAATATCTGTAGATAAGTATCCATGGAAAGTGAAAATAATGTACATTCTCAGTCTCCTAGTGATAGACCCTAATTCCTCAGATAAGAGCACATTTCCCTTCCAAACCCTGTGACAATGTATGACACTAAAGATGATATATAGGATGTTTCCTTCTACATTTTACTTCCTGCAAGAAATGACTTTTGCAGGTTCTTTCATCAGTGTTTTCTCCATAAGAAAATATTTATAAGAAGAGTAAATTTCAAGTCTATTTTTGGTCTTGATTTTTCCAAAAGGCCCAAATTCCATGGAATATGTAACCCCAGCCTCTTCTCCCCCTCCCTCTCCCTCTCTCTCTCCCTCTCTTTCTCTCTCTCTGTGCATGTCTGTGTGTGTGTGCATGTGTGTGAGCAGTCTCTGTGTGTGGGACTCTGTCTCCATCTGTGTCTGTCTTTTATAATGCACAGGCTTGCCTCTTCAATATTGCTCTCAGACCAAAATGGTAGTATTTTCTTTGATTTCCTCTATCCTTCATGTAATGTTCAGAACAGCACCCTCTGTTCAAAGACAATTTAAAAGTTGCAAGAGTCCAACTCAACTTTAGCTGTACTTCTAGGATATTTACAAGCACCATAGGAAACAACTGCATGTGTGGTATCACAAAAAAATGTAAACCAGGATGTCAGAAGTCAACATGAGATTCATTTCAGATGACATGAGAGGAACTGCTTTCTCAGGGCAAATGCTCAGTCCATGCTGGGACCAGGGCAGGAAGTTGAAGCTGGCAGCAGCCCATCACTGTAAAGAGGGGAAAAAAGTGGTGGTAACTCTAAATGAAAGAGAGAAGCTTGACATTTTTTTATTACCAAACCAGGCAATTAAAACATTAAACGTGAAATCTGGAGCACTGTAAATTTCCTAATATGGTATAAGTGCTGAGTTTCCCAAATGATGTTTTCTCATCTTTCAACATATCAAAGAGCATGCCAAAACCCCGAAGAAACATTTCCATTTTGAAAACAAAAATAAACCACACACATCCACATTCTATTAATAGTGTTGTCTTGCCTTAAAGACCCTGTGTCCTTAATCAAAAACCCCACTGCAGTGTACATAAATTTTAACATTATTGAAAACTCCATCCAAAGTAAACTGGACATGTGTAGGTGACTTAGGTGGGACTGAGCAAAAGTAATCAAATCCCTTCTTTATTTTCCTTACTGGAGACCAAATGTTATGTTCCTCATCGTCACATCTAAAGACTCTGTAAATATGTTCTACATCCTTAGCAGCATTTCTTAAGAAAGGAAAGTTGGCAAAAGACACGTAAATTCAAGCCAACTCCACACATTTAGAGGGACCACAGGACAGAGGGACATGGCTTAGAACTGAAAATCCCAGCAGAAATTGCCAGATGCAGCAAAGTACACGTCAAAGATCCCCAAATCCAGACTGTACACTGTTGATCCTGCCACCATGCAAAGGAAAAAAGCTGTCCCATGGCATTTTCTGTTAAGAGGCAGGAAAAAGCCATTAAATATGATGCTCTCTCCCTCCATTTGGATGCCCATAAGCTGCTACCCAGGGAGGGAGTCAATTGCTTGGGGTGAGTGGAACAGGAAGTATCTGACATGGACTCTGCTCACAAGATGCTTCTATTTTGGGGGGAGGAAAAAAACGAACACATGAAATAACTATAAGAAAGAATAAAAGATCCATTTACTACATCCTAAAAGATTCACCAGGCAACTAAAATGGTCAGTTCAACCCCAAACTACTCTGGGGAAAGAAATTCCAATCACTTGCCCTATGATGTCTCTACAAGGGCAAGGAAAAGGAAAAATCAGAGTCCTATAGGGACCACCAAACCCACTCTGAATCAGGTAAGGTGGAAAGGAATGGAGAGAACTGATTCAAGATGCTGCCTCAACTGTAACTTGGAAAAACAAAAAGAAGTATGGTGATGAAAACATCATCTCTCTTAATCCAACAGATCCAAGTTCAAATCCTGTCCCAGCTACTTACTAGTGGAACTGGCCAGGTTGATTAACTTCTGTTTCCATTCCTTTTATTGAGCACACCCTTATTTAACAGTATGAGGCAGGTACTCTTCTGAGTACTTCACACCTCTTACTTTATTTAATCCCAACGACAAACTGAGGTTGGTTTTGTTATTATCCCCACTTTACAAATGGGGAAACCGAGGCACGAAGAGATCATATGCCTTGAAAGTGGCCAAGTTTTGATTTGAATCCCAGCAGTCTGGCTCCAAAGTCTGCTCTCTGAAGCTCTACATTGCCTCATTTATAACAGACTTAACTTTTCAGGGAAATGTACGTACAGTACCCAGCACAGTGCCTGACATTTAGCAGAGGTTGAATAATTTATCTGCCTTTTCCCACTTCTCCCACTTCTCCCTCACCACACTGTGGGAGGCTGGAGGCAAGATCCTACACACACAGAAAGGCAGCTACGTCAATCTGCAAAGGCTCGGGGGCTCTGGGGCAAGCTAGAAAACAACCCTCTGTCTTTATCCCCTGAGGCCTGGAACAAGAGCTCTAACTCAAGCAGAGATGTCCGGCATTTCCAGACAGAGACTGGCTCTATTTATTATAATCTGCATTCAAGGCACAAGCGCTGTAGACAAGCCTCAGGGAAATGAAAGCCTTGTGATTTTTTTCAGTAGGAGCTATATGTGTATATGTCAAACACACACACACAACACACAACACACACACACACACACACACACACCCCACATCTAAAACTTATATTGTTCCAACCACAAGGGAAAATAATCTATTTTCCAGAACCTTCCATTGCCTAGAAATTGTATCAGGCTACAGAGTGCTTTAAGACAGCCCAGACATTACTGGATAGCTAAAGGACAGAGATCCTTTTGAAAATTATTAAGAACAAATTAGGCCCAGAGGCCCAAGGGAGCAGTGTTGTAAAACATGTGAAAATTTTGTTTTCCAGCCCTTTGGCAATATTTTCATGAGCTGATGACAATAAAAGAGAGGACAGAGACTATTTTTGTACATTGACATTAATCTAAAATATCATGGAGAAAGGTGTAATTTTTATCAGTTAAGTGGTTTATTTAGTCAGGCAAGTAGTGACCTGCACAAAACAGGGGATTTAATATCATTGGGATTTTCCAAGTGCAACACGAGTACACGTTGCTAATTATAAGAAGTTTACATATGCTACAATGTAGGAATGCTGTCTACACACTCATTCCCTTTTTCCTTAATTAATAAAAAGTCCTATTTTCTGCTAAAACAACATAAGAACATTATTTTATTACAAGAAAAAAATATCACTACAATTGAGTATTGAAACCATTGCTCTGACCCTGAGAATTTGCTAACATAGTTTAAAAGTTATTAAGAAGGAAAACTGACCTTGTACATTTTCAGTCTCGGTGACTGTGGCTACTGGGTTCCTTGATGCCTGCCAAATCTTGCAAAACTACAGTCCCCTTATCCATGTGGTTTTTAAAACTATAAGCTCCTATTGTGAATAAGCTTGATTTTCTGCTTTAGAAATCCATCAACTGCCAGTCTGTTCTCACGGCACATTGCAAAGAGAGACTCGACAAAAAGCCCAGGTGCACACACCATGAATCAACTTCTTCGTACGTTTTAATTACAGTTTAGCACAAGTGAGAGGAGGGAGGGAAGAAAGCTTCTTCATAAAATGTTCATTAGAAATGGCAATTTTCTATCAGGGGAAACAAAAATGGCATCCTTCAACTTGCTCATCTGAAGAAGTCCCCAGATGTGAAGTGTGCCTCTGTAAAGTCATATGCAAACCACATTTAGGTTTGTGGTTCAGCCCAGAACTTTTGAAGAGAGGGAGGCAGGCAGGAGGAAGGAAACGGAGTTAGCAGCGAAAGAGGAAGATGAAGTTTCTCAGACTTTGTGGACCTGGAATAAAACTGTTCTTTCTACATACTATGTAAGCTGTGACCCCCTAGCAGGGGGAAGGTTTGCTATCTCCTTAGCCCTTTCAAAAAGCCATTAAACTGGGGAGGGAGCAAGCCTGTGCGGGAGTTTTTCTGTGTGTGTCTGTGAGTCAGCAGAGCCGGAAGCCTTACAAAACCGACTTCAAACAACAAGCTGGAAAGGAGGACAATAGCTTCCACCTCCAGACAGTGAGAAATTGCATTATCCTAAGGGATCGAGGCCACCCATGTGCAACGTAGATAAGTGAGAACATTCTCTGCTCCAGCCAATGGGAGACCTGCCGCTACAGCTGCTCACAGAAGCTCTGGGTGGCCTCGGTCCCAGCCGCTCCAAATGGTTTCAAGGCACAAAAACACTGCTGCCGGGTGGAGTTCCCAAGCACAGGGGGTGGAAGAGGGAGGCTAATGGAGCAGAGGGTGGCCAGTTGCATCTCCCCCACCAGGTGCTCAGAATCCCTTCTCCCGGCTTAGGGAAATCACAAAGAGGTCTCAGGGCCGAGTCCATTAAGGCAGCTTGTGTCGGAGCCTGCCTAACCACCATCCACAGCAATAAATTAGCACTGTGCCTCAGAGACTGCAGAGAATGGGGAGAAATTTCCCTGCCCCTAGCAGTTCTTAGTAGTCTAGGAGCAACAGTATAATTAATGCCACTTGGTAAAAGAGAGGGGCATTCCAAATTCGGTCATACGGAAGAAAGAAGCCCTACCACACACCCTTCATGGTGGGCATGCAGTTCTCTTTAAAGACTCAGGCAAACCTGATCAAGAACCTCTTACATGTGCAGTAAAATTTTAAATTTACTAAAATGTATTGACTATCCTCTGCGGGAAGAAAAGGAAATCTTCACATTGGAGGAAATGTATATGAAAGTTACAGAAGGAGCTCCCTTTGGGGATACCATCATTTGTACAGAAGAATGACTTAAATAAAAACAATTATTTCATAGTACCCAGTCCACTTTTATAGTTTTTCTTACATTTCTCATTGCCATAGGTTATATTTTTAAAGGTTTTCATGTCTACAACTAATATCTATGTGGTATGTTCAAATGACTCAAAAAAAAAAAAAAGAAAACCAATCCAAGTATCAGATATGCCAATAATGCTGAAATTTCATATATTTTCATATAACCTCCACAGCAAATAATCCCTCTGCAGAACTCAATACTATATAAAAATTATTTTGAAAAAAATAATGTTTTTAATTTTATTTATTTATATATAATACACACAAGGACAAACATTGTTATGAGTGTGTGTGTGTGTGAGAGAGAGAGAAAGAGAGAGACAGACAGACAAAAGGAATTATAGGAGGATACAGAAGATAGGAAAATTAATAGTAAAATCGGAGCACTGGCTACCACACGAGTATAGACAATAACATTTCATGCAAAACCAAAATGGATGTAGGTGTTAAAAAATTAAAATTAAGTCATCTGGCATCTAGATCACTGAAGTGGAGGTTGAAAGACTAAGGAGACCTTTTCCACCCAGCCCCCGATTTGCTGTGGGGCCGACATGAAGTTGTGCTCTGCCTCTGTTATAACATCTGCAAAATGGAGCTAACACTTCCTGCCCCCTACCTCAGAGAGCTGTTAGAAGTTTAGATACCAAAGAAGAAAATCCTCTCCTCAAAGCCCTTCGAGTTTCTCATAAATATAAGACGTGCACTGTAATAAAATACCCACGACTCACTGCACAAGCCCTGAGGGATACATGGCCATGGAAATAGGAGACAGACGCCAGCCGTACAGCATGGCAGACTCCTCACAGGGCACAGCAGCCATGATCAGGGAGGCAGTGAGCAGCTCTGTCCCCAGCTTCCAGGGACAAGGTGGAGAAAATAACCCTGAAATTCACATCTGCTCAGACAAGACACAACACCCAGGAAAGAGGAAGGGGAGAAAAGTCTCGTTTCAACAGACCGCCAATAAGTCAAAAGAAGCAATCCCCACAGATAAAATTCCTAATTCTTGCTTAAAACTCTGGAACTACATGTTGTCAATCAAGTGACAACATTACACTGGTAGTTTTTCAGGTTTAGAAAAGTCTCATACTAAAAGTAATTCAATTCCCTAGAGGAGTAAGGGTAATAACCTCCCACGCCGAACAAAATGTAAAGCAGAGAATACATAAATTAGAGGATTTAAAATTAATTTGTACTGGAAACAAAAGCCGTAATTGACTGTACATAGTCATCTAAGGAAAATAATTACTTTGGGGGCCATAAGGAAATTGGGAGAAGAATTATTAAATATTCATCATGTTCTAAAATATTCTGAATTATGGAAAGTTTAAAATTTGAACTGATCAATTAATTAAACACATATCATTATGACATCAAGCATTTATTGTGGGCCATGTGTCAGGTTAAAAGAAAAAAGATGAATAATATCCTATTCCTGGTTCTCATGAACCTCAAGGCCTAGCAAAGGGAGACAGAGACAAAATAAAGCCTAGAACAATGTGGTGAGGGTTTGAATCAAGTATAAACAGAGAGCTAAGGAAGAACAGAGGGAAGGAATTGATTCTACATGGAAGGGAGAGAGGGAAAGGGCTTAGGAAAGTTTCAGAGAATTTGACACTTGACAGGACCTTGCAAAATGGACAGTATTTTGCCCAATATAGAACAAAGGAAAGGGGCACTCTAGACAAGTAAATGGCAGCCCACATCACGGGGCAAGTCTAGGTATGTCCTAGTTAAGAGAAACACAAAGGAGGCAATCTGGAAGGGCCTGAACTGCAAAGTCTTTGTGGGGAAGGGAGCATCATGAGATGAGATTTTTGCAAAGACACTTGATATTTTCTAGCACTCAATATGCAAGATGGAGCCAAATGAACAGGGGGAGAAGTGGCAGGAGCCGGGAGGTGACGCCGGCCTCTGGCCTGAGACAGACCTTGGGGAGATTTACAGCATTGCTGAGGCCAGTTCTGCAGGCAGAGGTGTGGAGTGTGTACGGAGGCAGAGAAGCCGGAGGGCATGGCAAGCTGAACTATGATTTGAGAACAGTGCAGATCAGGGCTTCCAGGAGAAGCAGCAGGCCCAACATAGGTGGATAAACACAGGGTAGTAAGCAAAGCATGGCCCCAGAGATAGTAGGTCCTAATCCGTCGAACCTGTAGTTGTCACCTTCAATGGCAAAGACTTTGCCAGCAAGTAAAAATCTTGAGATGGGGAATATTTTGTGTATTATCCAGTTGGGCCTTAAATGCCATCACAAGTATGCTTTTATAAGGGATATCTGACTACAGACAGGGGAGCAGAAGGCAATATGACCATGAAGGAGGCAGCTATTTGAGCGATGCAGCCACACAAGCCAAGGACTGTTGGCAACCAGCCACCGGAAGCTGGAGGAGGCAAAGAACAGATTCTCCCCCAGAACCTCTGGCCAGACCTTGGCCCTGTTAACACCTAAATGTCTGTTGTTTTAAGCCACCAAGTTGGTGGTGATTTGTTACAGCAACCAAAGAAAATTAATACACACAGTAAGCAAAGAGCCACCTCCGAGCCATTCTTGGGTGCCACAATCACCAGTCTTGATGAGGATAATTTGGACTTTGAATGGAAGTCACTGCCAAGAAGCAGAAGTCCCACCTGATGCCTCAGAGGAAGACAAGATCATTAATCTGAGTAAGTAGTCAACATTTAGGAATAGGAATGCAGATAAAAGCCCAGACTGGATCAAAACACGATGGGTAGAAGAACTGCAAATCATGGCCACAAAATGACTACGTGCAAGGGAAGGGAACTGGGTCTGAATGGTGGTAGGAGCAAGAGGAGAGACACAGCAACTCAGAGGTCATCACTGGGCCACCAAATTTCTGGTCCAGACTAGTCATTTAATTTTAGGTGTCCACTGGCTGTTGGAAGAGGTGAGCAGAGAATGGGAAACATTTACATGTCCCCTGTCTCAATCAGGACTGACTCAGGAAGTAGACCAGGAGAGACCATCAAGTCAAAGACATCAGCGGATACAGGTGTGTGAAGATTCTGCAAATGAAACAGATGGGGTGTGAAATGCTAAAAAGCATGAAACGTGCTCTCTAGTCACTAAGGGAAGTGACAAGAGGAGATCTGTTTCAGAAGGGTGAGAGCAGTACTGGGTCTCCGCGGTAGACTAGACAGCCCAGTAAGAAAGTGATGGAAGCAGCCAAGACTGGAAACGATCAGGACCACATATGAGGATGGGAAAACGGGGATGGATCAGAGAAGTCTTTGCAGGACAGGCAAATTATTTCAATAGGTAATGAGCAATTGGTGGGAAGTTGGGGCAACAGAGAAATGAGAACAACAATCTTTGAAGCACACAACTCAAAAGGAAAGGTGACAGAGCAGACAGAGTGAGTTTGCCTCTGGCTAGACTGAGTGTATTGTGTGGTTGGGTCACGCCAGGAGTGACAGGTAGCAGTCAATGAAATGTTGGGATCTGAAACCCATGAGAATGTCATAAACGCTTGAATTTTGAAAAATTATCTGTACTGTGTGTGCTCTTTCATCTTCTTTTTCCTAATGTGTCATTATGAAAGGGACTCAAAAAGTTTCCTAAAATTTTAATATCCTAAAAACAAAATGTTTAAACTGTAGTCATAACACCCATTCACAAGAGAAACCTCCCATCTACTGCACTTTAAAAATGCATCAAAGATTTTCTAAGAGGTGAAAAAAATTCTTACCAGTTTCCTTTCCCATCTATTAGTTTTGAGGACAGCTAGTGGAACAGAAAACAGAGAACAGCCATCCATGGATGAGGGCAGTTGAGAAGGGCGATCCCAGGGATAACCTAATGATGGAAAAGACAGCACTTTTTTAATTTGCAGAGGACATCAAATTAGATGTGGCTGGAACCAGTAAATGCACATCCTACAAAGAGTAAAAAAAAAAAAAATCAGTATGTTTACGAATACGGAACACCTGGGTAAAGGGATCGAAAAAAATTAATAAAGATACAGATTTATCTGGTGATGAAAATGAATGTTAATCAGATGTGAAAAAGACTCATTTCTGCTCTACAGCCACAGACTCTGTATTCCTCTTCACCATGAAGTTCAGTACACAGTGGTGTTCCAGTGGAGAAGGCGGGCAGCTCGCCTCTCCAGCCTGTGATTTCTCTGGGCTGCTATTAGCTGGAATGTGGAAATGGATTAGAGGGAGCAGCCTGTGAAATTCCAGATTAGACAGTTAGTAGGCATGACAATTTGGGAAGGCAGCACCGTCTAATAATTCAAAGATGCAAAGGACTATGATATAATCCCTGTCCTCAAGCAATTGTGTGTGTTAAGATAAACAAAGTTCTTGGCCCAATAACAGAGACCACGGCGGTGCAGAGGTGACAAAAAACACCTCTATCTTGGTCAGCTTGTAGATAAGAAAAGCCAATAAATATTCACAGTGAGTAAATAAAAGACCTAGGAAAATACATGTAAATATACAAGCAAACACATGTACAAACAGGGTCTTATTTTTAAGGCTTATTATTGGAAACGTATCTCACTGTCTCCAATCACATTTTGAAGCTCAAAAGAAGTCCTGGCAGAGGAATAGAGGACAGACAGTATCAGCAAAAACCCTAAATGTGCCCAACAATTAATCACACTACCTTACGTTTACACAGTACTTCTATGAATGCTGCCTCATGTAACGTCTCATTGGATCCCAAGCAAGGCACTGCAAATGGCGGCCTCCCCAAGTGTGACCCAGGATCATTCCACATACTTTTACCTAGTATCTACTACTGTATATAAATAATACTAAGGAGACATAGAAACATAAGTAATGCCTGCCCTCAGGGAGTTATAAAAACAGACAGGTAACAGTTAAGTATTCACACAAGGCAAGAAATGAGAGATACAGAAAATGTGGGTTATAACTCTCATAGTAGAGAGGCATATGTGAAGAATGGGAAGATGCGAGCTGAAGCTTGAGAGATGCCTGAGTGGAAAGAGGGGTAAAGGAGATTCCAAAAGATTCGAATAAAGAATCAGCCTGGTGTGACAGAGGTTATGACACTAAGCACAAGAAAAGAAACAGAAGATGCTAAGGACAACTTCAGGACTAGTGAGGACAAGCTGATGGAGGACTCTGTGCTTTACTCAGAACCACCATGAGTCTTAGATCATGAGTGAAAGACAAAATAAGGGCTTTAGAAAGTTAATCAGGAAGCTACCCAGGGAAGACAGGACTAAATAACCACTTCTGAGAGACAGGTTAGGGGGCTGGTATGCTAATGTAGGCATGAAGCTATGAGTTCTTGACCAGGAAGGTGTTTGGGAGAAAGAATACCAATGAAGAATTAAAAGGTTTCAGTGACCATGTAGATAAAGAGGATAAAGGATAGGAAAAAAGTTCAAGATGGCCAGAGATTCTACTTTGGTAAGCAGAAAAATGAGAATATCACCCATAAGCCATTGAGAAGGAAGAAAAAGGAGCCACTTTGGGAAATGATTCTCTTTTGAAGACACTTCAATTTGAGGTGAGGATGGTATAACCCAGATGACATATCTTCTGGAGGGGTTAGAGCAAATGTGAGCACCTTCTAGACTGCAAATGGTTTAGAAAAACCACTTAGAGAAAGAATCCAGAGGCTAAGGGCTAAGAAGATTTTGGAATTCCTCAAACACACATCACAACTTTTGATTTTAGTGGCAAACCGTCAGGAAAAATTCTAAACCAAAGAGCTTGGAAATACTTCAGAGATGAGATCGGACTTATACAGGGCCCATAGTTTTCAAAATATTCCAAAGACAAACATCTGACAAGCAGAAGTCATCCTGAAATATCAAACTGTGGATTTCATGGTCAGTAATGACATTAAATAGAGCCAAATTCTGTGGAATTTGGCTACACAAATAAATTATGGTTCACTAATAGTCAGATTTTAATCACTTAACACCATGACAAAAAAGCAACCAAAGTCACCAACAGGTATGTAGAGTCTGATATTTTTAGCCCTCCTATTGATAACCATAAAAACAACCACTGACTTACATGTTTATGGTTTCCTAGGTCCCTAAACACTAGGAGATTCTGTGTCAAAGAGCCACACAAGGGTTCTGAAGCTAGGAAGGTAAACCAAATGTTCTCTCTGGTTGTTTCCAAACTTCTGGTGGAAAACATGAAGGTGGAAGTTGTTTCCAAGGCTGCTCAGACAGAGTGTTCTGGAACTTTACATTACTTAGGAATCAATGAAGTGGCATCTGCATACATACAAAAATATGTAACAATCAAGTCCTATTTTCTAGTTAAAGATGTCCCAATGACCATATTAGAAGCAAAAAGAATTACACTGCCCTCCTGCCTCACTCCCTCCCCCTCCTCCAATAACCCATCAAAAGTAAGAGAGAAGCTACTTTTTCATACAATGAAATATAAAAACAATGGCTAATATTTGTAACTAGTAATAATGGCTAACATTTATTTAATACTCATTATATACCCAACACTGTTCTAAGCTCTGAAATATTCACCAGAAACTTACGCAGTGGGTATTATTATTATTAGCTTCATTTTATATATGAAACCAAGGCACAGAGAGACGTGTGTAAATATTAATAAGTCACCCAAGGTTACATCCTTAGTGTGTAGCGGAGCCAGGATCTGAATCCAACCAGTATAACCGCGTGTCTCATACGCAATTACCCTCCTATCTATACTGTTTCTCAAACTCATGCTCCGACATATCACCTGTTAAAAAAAAGTAAGCTATTGTTTAAAGATAGCAAACACTGCCTATGACATAAGTGTTTTCTGATTATTTCAAAAATCTCCAAGAGTACCAGACACAAACAAGCCCATAAGCCCAAAGAGAGTAACAACACACACACACACAGGAAACTTTCTGAGGATAGTTTAAATAAAAAAGATTCCACTTGGATATGGAGAAACTTTTAACCACTTAGAGTGACAAAAAAAAGTGGAGTGAGTTATACTTAAAGAAGAGTTAGGAGCATTCACTCCTGAACAACTTTTTTTTTTTTAAAGCAAATCTCCTAAAAGACACACATTTATCTACTTTAGAGTTTGGACTAAATACGGAATTGCTTTTATGATAACTCCAGGATTTATTTTGCACTTTCCTGTCCTACGTTTTCACCCACTTCCCCTAATTTCAGTCTAAATCTGACTTTAAAAAAGAATTATATTAATTCTTACCAAGGCACATGATCCTTGGTAAGCATGACAACTCCCCCCAAAAAATTGATGTTTCAACCTACATTTGTGAAGAGTGGATTTTAACTGAAGGCCTCCACAACTAACAATCCAGTTAACTGCACTATTGATTCTCCTAACATTTCTCTGGATCCAGTGTTCTTATCTGGCTAATTTTATCTAAGACATATTTATTTGCCACCTTATTTCAAAACTCAGAGGTGAAGAAAAGGCTTCTAAACATAGCTATTAAAAGGCAGACACCAAAGCAACCCAGGGTTTGTTGAGGAAATTATATTTTCCATGTGATTCTCTTTCAAATACGAGTAGAAAAAGAAATAATGTTGGAGTCGATCTCCCACGATCCTGTGATAATCCGGAGGTCGGCAACACAGAACACAAGTATTAGGTTTGTCACATGGTTCTACCAGGCCAAATTGTCAGAGGCGGGTTTTCGGAGCAGGATACCAGAAACAGCATTAAAAGCTTTAGCAACAGCTGCCAGAGAAACTGAACCCTGACTCACCCCTACCACTCCTTATCACTCGGTGAGGTCCTACTGAATCCTTCCTTCAACACCATGGTGGTGTGGAGAACGTTACAGGGACTGCGGGTGGCCACAGTGCTCTCTCGTGGGGTACACCTCCAACAGTAACTAATGCTCAAAAGGAATTACCATCAAGATAAGCAGCCTACTACTGTATTACAGTTGGATACATAAAATCAACAAAGACTTTCAAACTCCGGTGTCCATGAGACCAACAGAAGTTCAGCATTAAAATAAATAAATAATAAACCTTTGAATTAGCTGCTATCAGTGACGTTGGGAATGGCATGAAATTTTAGGACTTCTCTGTACTTTTAAAATCTTTGCTGCTTAGATGTATGGCTGCAGCAATAAAAAAAAAAAAAGAAACAAAAACCTGCAGGCAGACTTAAGTAGTATCAACATTTTTAAAAATCATACTTTCTTCTTATTGTTTATTGCCTTTTCCCAAAATGTTTCTTAATGCCTCATTCTACACAGAACAGTGTGAGCTAGTATTTTTTAAACAGCATGGCACAGAAAACTGGCATCCAGGGTAGCTGCTCATGGGTGGTCTGTGTTCGAAGTGTGAGAGACATGGCGTGCTATGATTCTACCTCCTTGGGTATGCACAGTAAATATTAGCTAGTTCAAGACTCTGAGAAGTCCTTAAGAACTGCATCAACTATCATGTTGCCTATACTTTCGTGACCCTGGAAAGCATTTACTCCATGGGATACACGGGCTGCACAGAATATAGTTTGGGAAATGTTGCTCTATGCCCCAGAGCTTAGCCTTTAAGACGTAACAATCCGACCTCAAATTACAACATACTTTCACATCTCTGATGTGCACTGCAGATCTTACCTTCCAGTTCCTCCTACAGAAATCCTCTCCTCTAGTCAAGTTCATCTCTTTCCCGGTGTCCTAAACAGACATTTGCTCCACTGTTTTATTCACACCACTCCCCATGCTAGAATTTCTGCCTTCAATCATTCTGTTCGATTTAATCCCTCAATGCTTGAGATAAGAATCCCATTTCCTATGAGACTCTTTCACCTAATGGCATCTTTCCTTTCCCCTGAATAGACCACCACAAATAAAATGGT